CAAAAATGGGGTCACGAAATGCACCCAGCTTCCCTTATTATAATGTGTAAATACATGAAAAGGCTGGAACTGCGACCCCAAAATTGGGGCCGCCTGGCGGCCCCAATTTTGGTGTCGCTAAATCTGCATTTTTCGAGCCCCTGCGCTCCCCAGATTGCGACGCTACAGCAACTCTGACCCACAGGCAAGCTCCTAGCGTGGAGATTTTTTTTTTAAAGAACAACGACCCCCCACAGGCAGCTTTCTTGCGGAAGTGATCAACATAATAGAAACGGGCACCGAGGAGGCCACGCACAAGCGGACGTGACTTTTGCACACAAAAGCGGACCCAGAATCTGGCCTCGGAACAATTTCCTGCGCAAAGACCCGGAGCACATATGGAAAACCTACTCCTGCGGAAAAATACAGCTGGGTTAGCCCCAGCGGCTCCTGGCTGCCTGGCCGCATCACTTCTGCTTCTCCCTGCCATTAGCATCCACCTCCACAACCTCACCTAGCAGCGCTGCAAAGCCGCACGACAAACTGCGCCGCTTGCATCTTGCCTATCTGGACGAGCCCCGACCGCACCATGTGACAAATTCCAAAGCTTGAAGTAACGCTGAGGAAATCCATGGTGCCATGGAAGCTCATGGAAACCCTCGCTGAAGCTTCTGACCAAAGCCGCGCAAAGCATGAGAAAACCAATCGAAACCCCGCGGAGATTTTGCAGGAACCCTCACAAAGCTCTACTAGAAGCTTTAAAGAGCTGCGCACGACCTATATAAGAAAACCCACACAAACCACGCGGAAACCCTCACACAGCCCTAAGAAACCAACGGAAACCCCTTCAAAGCTGTCAAAAACCATGGAAAACCCACGGTAAACCTTCACAAGACATTAGAAAAACCTTCCGAGAGCTTCAAAAACCTACGCAAAATCTAACAAAACCCACTGAAACCCCGCAAACCTTAGAAAACCCCAGGGAAACCATCTGAAAGCTTTAAAAAACCAAGGCAAAACTTGACAAACCCACGGACATCCGCGGAAACCCTCACAAAACTTTAGAGAAATTCAAGGAAAACCTCCGGAAAGTTCAAAAACTGCACGAAATCCCACGGAAACCCTCACGAAACCCTTGAGGAACCTACCAAAACCATCCAATAGGTTTTAACACATGCACGAAATCTAAGGAAACCCACGGAAACCCCCAGAAACCCCGCGGAAACCCTCGCGAAACTGTAGGAAACCCAGGGAAACCCTCCAGAAGCTTAACAAACATGAACGGAAACCCTGCGGAAACCCCTTTATCAGGACTGGATTCACCCTTTGGCAATTTACAAAGTTATAAAGGACAGGTGCCGCAAAAAAAACCCGCCACCCAATCAACCGCACGCCAATGTCAGTATTATACTACCGGTCGTCCCCTAAAGGGCGAAGGACGCAAGAGGTGTTCTTCTGCTTCTGGCGAGGACCTGTGTCAACCGGAGCGCCGAAGCTGGGGTATGCCTGCCATACGAATCAATGGTCGCTGACCGTCTAAGAAGCACTTCGCACCTTCAGGCAGAACGTCAAGGTACACATTGGTCTTTCACCAATCGGGTTCAGAAAAAGGAATACAGTCTACATCTGCCTGGCTTCACCGTCCACGTCACAACTTGCTCTAGAACAAGACTGACTTCCTGCCTTAGGGTTCATATCAGACTCAACCCAAAGACCTGACTGAAGGCATGACTGGTTTCTTGCACCCAAAGCTTTGACCCCGCGCATGGCTGTTGCTACAACCATACACGCTAGGCCACCAAGCAGCGCACGGATGAGCTTGGACACCTCCGGCCGCGCACCGGCCGGCCACACCTGCGCCCTGCAACGAATGTGAAGCCTCTCGCATCGCCAAAAAATCGGCCTTGAAGACCTCGGCAACCTCCTCCACTGAGTGCTTCGCTGAGCGAGTTGCGAAGGGCTTGCGACACCTTGGAAGCACAAACATGGACCCTACGGACTATGTCTGGGCACTTTTTTCGGCCAACAAATCAGGCTCCGACGTGGCAGACATGGCGCAAGTACGCAAGCTGTGGCCTTAGGAGCTGCTTGAGGCAAGAAAGCGCTCAGCGAGCAGCGGCTCAGATGCAATCTGTTGAAGACACATGGCCCGTAGGCGCAAAAATTAGCAAAAGTC